TTTTTACACATGAACCTCGCCCCAAAACTAGGGCTTATTTTGGAGGTACAGCTTATATTGGGTGCATGTGTAAAAATCAAGCTAGGGCTTATTTTTGACATAGGTCTTATTTTCAGGGAAACACAGTACTTGGATCTTGTTTGGGTTGGACTTTAAATTGTTGATGGTGTAATATTGTCCTAATTCTTCAATAAGAATTAGGATAATTAGTATAAGAAATCTATCATAGGTTACCCTGCTACCTCATCAAAAATTGACCCTCATGTAACCACTGCTATATCATCCACACAGATGAATAGATGTGTGTTGTTGGAGACTGGTTGATCGTTTGTATATGTTATACAATCTTTTAATACAGTAGTTTCCTGTGATATAATTAAATTATTTAAATGAAATAGCAATTAAATGAATTAGTTTTTTAAAGCCAATTCTCCCCATTACATAATTAATTTGCTTTGAGGCTATTGCAGAAAGTGCCTATAGCAGGTGGTAGTCTTAGAAAAACTGCAATATTTGATGAGTTTATTTTGAATCGATAAACAATGACATATAAATGGTACATATTCTGACCTGCAGAAAGATGTTTTATTTAACTTTGTATCATGCAAATCTTCTCTCTGTTTCTGCTTAGAGATAAATTGAAACATATGATATGACCAAGAGTCAAACTTTTCCATGCAACTCTATGCAGATAATATGAAGAGATGTTATAAGCAGTGGTGGGATTCAAATATATGAACAACCGGTTCTCTGTATGGATGCCACTTCCTGAAGTCCATCCTGGGAGTGGGAAACAAAAAGTTAGCTACCGGTTCTGCCGAAGTGGTGCGAACTGGCTGAATCCCACCACTGGTTATAAGGATAAGCTAGTGTGAAATTAAAACATAAATAAGTGACTAGCTATCTTCATTTTCATTTTTTTACAAAATCCTGTCAATTATTATGTATATTATGTAATAAGTATACATGTATTTATATATGTATATGTATACACACATGTACATATATGCCTAATTTTTTTAAAAAAAACCATTTGAAGTCACTTTAGAATATTGTATTGATCAAAATAAGGCAGCAATTTTAGTTGTATAATCGGGTGCTTCTTTCAGCTAGTCAAAAAGAAAGTTTGCATTGAACAAATGATTCAAATCTATTTTGGCAAAATTGATCACTCAATCAAACTTCACCTCAAAAATCTTTTAAAAATGACAAGCAAAATGTCTGAAGCTGGAAAACAACTATCTACATACTACTAAAACTCTCATCATGACCTTTAGGTGGAGAAGTGGTGCTAGAAGCCAACAACTTTTGAACCAGGATACCTAAAATGGGCTTACAGAATGTGTCCAAAATCCATGAACCAATGAAGCATGTGTTGTCTAGTATTAGTGAACACTATCTTCATGTTACAATATAGATTTTTTGTTTGGAGTCTTTATTTTATTTTTATTGTAATTACATTTTAAGATAAATATTAAATTAAATGGCCCTTCACTCTTTATTCTTCTTATTTCTTCAGTCTCTACCTACCCAACTCAGATGTTCAAGATGAAGAATTCCTTTTTCGCACAGATGTCATTCTATCAACAAAAGCAAATCACTGGATATAGGTGAGAACTACACAAAAAATGTAAAATTTATCAGGACGAATTAAAATCTAGCAGCATAATAAAACAAATTTTAACAAGAACTCTTTGAGCTAGATTCTGATCACAATACACATTTACAGCCATCCTGAAATTTTTGCAAAATTTTCCTACTGTGATCAATTGTTCAAATAATAGATCAGCATAATAGCTGCAGGTTTTAAAATATGCAAATTATTTGAGAACAAAAAAAATACAATATCACCCTCCATAAACTGTCATTCTAAAAAACTGAATATTCATTAGAAAAAATATATTAAAAATTAAGAAAATATTTATTATGCCCTTTTACTGAAATTGAAAATTCCTAATTAGAGCTGTATAGAAACTGTAGTAAGTAAAATAACCCCTAAGTTTACATTTCAATAACTACGTTATCAGGTTTCCATGTAATCAATATTAATTGAATTACATTCCTAAATGTTCTTTTGAAGTGTCCAAAGCTGCTTAGATATCCCAAAAAGTAATAGCACACAATGAAATACATTTCACCAAAGAAAATCTAATATTATAATGAATTTTCCAAATATTATAAAAATTCATTCACACCACTTTGTTGATTCTGTAATTGTTTCCAGACTTTCTTTTTCTTTCTCACTTTGTAAATTTGGGGCATTTCAGAATTAAGTGTTAATTTTCAGTTCTCACTATTTTATCTTTTAAATAATGCTTTTCATTTTGAAGTGATTGTGGATGTAGTTCATCTTTACAAAGCAAAGATCACTAAAGATGAAAAGAGAACCATACTTTCTAATTTATAGGATTATTTACATTTTTAACAGTTCAATAGTTACCTTTCCTACCACCAACAAAAAGGCTTACCATAAAAAGAAAGACTATGTGACAAAATAGGTTGCAGCTTAACTACAGAGCAGAGGTAGTTAAATGTATTCATTTATTTTTAGATGACAGGCTTTGAGCAAGTAGGCAAAATTGCCATAAAGGGTTAAATATATAAATCTATGGATCATCCAGTTTTTCCTGGTCAGGTTTATCTTCATGATTTCAACAGAACTCATTAAGTATACTTTGAACAATTACACCTGATTTTTCAAAGACTAATTAAACAATATCTACATGTTCCTGGACTGCAAGGCAATCAAACCGGTCAGTCCTAGGTGAGATCAACCCTGACTGCTCTTTAGAAGGCCAGATCCTGAAGTTGAAACTCAAGTACTTTGGCCACCTAATGAGAAGGAAGGACTCACTGGAGAAGAGCCTAATGCTGGGAAAGATTGAGGGCAATAGAAGAAGGGGACGGCAGAGAATGAGGTGGCTGGATGGAGTCAGTGAAGCAGTAGACGTGAGCTTAAATGGACTCCAGAAGATGGTAGAGGACAGGAAGGCCTGGAGTTGTCGTCCATGAGGTCGCGATGGGTCGGACACAACTTCGCAACTAACAACACACATGTTCCTAGTATGAAATGCAAAATTACATTAATTCTGCAGAGATCTGTCTCACAAAAATAAAAAAAATATTGATGTTTTTTCTTGGTTTAAGTCCAAAGGAATACAACTGGTCAAACAAGTAAGTGAACAAAAGCTTTTACATATTCTTTTTAATGGGTCATAATGGTGATATTAGGCATACTGTTAATACAGAGTCCTTCAAATGCTGAAGAGACAAATGTCTGGGAGTGAACCAAGCAGTAATCTGATAATTACATGGTTCAATCCAGTATAATGGAATTCTGTGTATTTAGTCAACATACATGTCTCTTCATGAAAAATACATAGTTGTGGAATGAAAAAATACCTAAAAATAAAAATGCATATTACATCTCTGCACCCAAAGTAGTGGTCATAAGTTAAAACACGAAACATATTCAGACTAAGAAGGAACAATTATGTATAGAAAGATAAATTTAATAAATATTAACTCAACAGTATTTTCTCATAGTTATAGGTATATAACTGCTGGTTTAAACACATTTTATAAAGCCCAATGAATTATTTGTATTGCATTAATATTGTAACTGTAATCTAGTCAACATCTCTGGAAATGGAAAAGCCTAACAGGATAAAATATACATCCCTACTTCATGCTAGAAAATGAATGCTAGTAAAAATAAATATGTGTTAAATATTGTAGGGGCTCAGGAGACATTTAGTAGTAGACAGAATTAGAAACAAAGTTTTTGTTTGCATTTGCAGTTTTCCACACCTATTGCCCTCTATCCATTTTCTTCCACATCCAATTTACATTGTTAGGGCAGTATCTTTACATAATTTACGAATTTGTTTTATAAACAATACATTGACTGGAAAAAAAATTAAGGTTTTTTGTTCTGACAGAATTGACAATTGAATAAGGAGCTTTTGGAACTTTGTGCATGGGATTGGGGTTGAAATACATATATCAAATCAGCTTTTTTTTTTAAAAAAATTAACAATTGAAAAACATAAGTTTCTTGCCTTTTCTATCAGCCATTTAGAAAAAAAAAATTATAAGTGTTTATAAGTACACTGGCCATGCTGAAACTCCAGATTTTCCTATTACAATTAAAACGTAAATTTGGACAGTTTGGAAGCAAGTTCCGATATACCATTAGGTATTTATTAACCTTATTAAATAAGTCTTTTAAATGCTCTTGTGCATTAAAAATCAGCTTAATTTGCAGCACTAGGATGAATTTTATCACTTAGTAAGGAACTACAAAACGCGAGGCAACTCTTGCATTAATTCCAGTTAGGCTGATTTTTGTTTTTTCTTTTGCATCGAGAGCTTGATGATACTAAGGGGCAAAATGTATGTTCTAAGTGGTTAGTACAGCCTCTCATCCCTGAAACCTCACCCCCACCCACCCAAGAAAGCAGGATATGGCATCCGGCCCATGAAAATGATATACCCAGGAACCGAAATCTAGGTAGTAAGTTATTCTCCAGAGAGAGCAGTTGAGACGCGCGCAAGGAGTAAGGTTTTCCAGCAGTTTTAGAAACGGTGTCCGCTCCTTATCGGAGATTATTTGTGCATCTCTTTCTTTCTCGGCTCGCATCCGTTTCTGAATAAGGGATCTATCGCTTGCAACTTCGGTTGACACCCTCAGTCTCTGAAGCACAAGTTCTTGTCCCCATTCTCCCCCGCTCCTTCAACGGCAGCCATTTTGTCGCGCTCTTCTTCACTTTTGCCTGCCCCCCCCTCCAACCCATGACGACAGCGTGCGACATCTCCATGACGCGCACCGCTGCGCCGATGGAAGATCGCGTGCGCGTGACGCCTTCACCCGGCCAACGGAGGTCGCGACGCCTTTCGCCGTCTGGGCTCGCCGTTCCGATTTGCGTGCCATGCCCTGGCCCCGCCTTCCCTTGCTGCTCTTGCTGCCGCGGCTGCTCTGCTGCCCCCGAGCGCTGCACATGCGTAGTCCGAGCCGGGGCGTCCGAGCCGGGGGAGTCGAGTTCAGTGTCGCTGTAGCGGGAGACAAAGCAAGTGGGAAAATGAATGGGACCGGGATACGCGAACCTTCCTGTTAACCTCGTCGGCGCCGGCAGGTAGAGCGAGAGGCGCTGGAAGGAGAGGTGAGGAAAGCAAAGACCCGCCCGTGAGGGAAGACGCGCGGTGCCTGTCTCCTGCTCCTCCCCCCCCTCCCCCGAACTCTTTTCCGCCACCGCCGTGGCAGGGACGCTCCCCGCCCGCTGAAATCCTTCCGCTGGGGACGGAGCTCTTTCGTCACCCCACCCCCGTGGCGGGAGCCGGGAGGGTCGCCGGGGAATCGGAGTCGGCCGGGCGCAGGAACCAACGCCGTCCGTGGCCCGGATGCGCTGCTCGCTCGCTCGCTCGCGTGCGCCGGCCTTATTGTTTGAGGGCAGGAACGGAGCCTGGAGAGGGAGTCCCGTGTGGGTCCCTTCCAAGAGGTGAGCCGGACGACGCGGTCACCGAGCTCTCCCTGCCATCTCCTCCTGTCTACCCGACCCCCCTGCTTGGAGAAGTCCCTTCGGGGGAAGGCCCGGAGCCGCCGCACTTTCTTTAATGGTGCAGAACTAATGCCCGGCTTTGTTTCGGCTTCATTTTGTCTTCCCCCCCCCACCACACACACGCAGAGATCCACGCAGGCCCGCACTTAACAACCGTCCGTTTGGAGCAGGGCCGCCCCCCTTCTTCCAAACAGTGCCTGCCTTTGCCTGCCTCCCTTCAACCGAGGCTTCATCCTTTTTTTTCTTTCTTTTTTTTTTTGTCCCTTGGCTCCCTCGCTCTCATTTTGACATACTCGGTGGCCCTAGAGAGTTCTCTCCGGCCATATGGCTGCTGGGGAAACGAGGGTGTTGAGCCATGCTGGGTGGAGCGACACCGCACCTTTCCTTCCCTCACCCTTCCGTCCTTTGTCAACAACTCAGGGGGGGACCCTTCGCGGGGCAAGGGGGTGCCTGTGTGTGTCTTTTAAAAGCAGCGCAGCTCCCCTTTCCTGGACCAAAGATGAAGATGATTTCTGGGGCCCTGATTGAAAGTCCGGTTAATTAAGAGTCCAGATGTGAGGGAAGGACTTTCAGGCCTTACTTATTTCTGTTGATTAGATGAAAAAAAAAAACAACAACAACACAATCCCAGGTTTACCTCTTTCCAGCCAGTGTTTACATAGCAGTGTATGTTTCTGCAGTCCTAAAGTTGTCTCTCTTCAGGTGGAAGAAAGTGCTCATGTCGACAACTAATGTACGAAGTCACTTTGAAGCACAGAGATTGGAGTGTTAGAAACCGGTCTGATTTTATAAATAAAAAATAAATCTCCCAAATTAAGTCCAGGGCATTTTTAGTTTGAATGTCTCACATATAAAGTTAGTGAAAAATATTTGATGAGAGCTTTGATTAGGGTAGGTTGTTAGATAAAATCATCAAGAGGATTACTGTATTGTTCTAACTGAGCAAATAGAGATAGATCATTTTAAAGATACAAGACCCAATGGTTTGATGCAGCCCACAAAATACCCCTGAAGATGCCATGCTCACAAAACGGTTTTCTTTCTTTTTTCTTCAAAAAATCCATAAGAAGTTGCTAGTTATTGATGAATATTAATAATGACCTTTCTCTAATCAAAGAAGTCAGTTTAGCTGTTCAGAAAGTTCTGTCAATTTCACCAACTATTCCTCCATGGTGGGTACTACCTAATCTTTCCATCTATGTGCATATAATAGTATCACCACAGTAATCATATATTGAAATAATCTTCCAAGACTTTTTTCTATGTCTTTTGAATCATTCTAATAGCATAAATGGGACTAGATCTGTAAGAATTTTAAAGAATGGTTGAGATTATCTGTCAGGAAAAAATAGTTTATTTATGGAGCATATTTTTTCTTAAGGTTTTAATATAAATATTTTACATAATTATTAAACAGACATTTTTATTTTTCAGGGTTTAAAATTTAGAATGAATGAAATGTGAATTTTTTTCTGTGTGTTGAAATCTAAAGACTGCTACTTCAGAAAGATGGGTAAACATTTAGACAAAGATAGTAGAAGATACTTGTTACTGGACTTGGACAAACAAGGGATATACAAAATTACACACTCCATGATCTCAGTCTTGAAAAAAGTAGGTAACTGCTACTAATATACCCTAGCCATATTTTCCTGGACATAGGCACTATAATCAATTAAACCTCCACATACACTTGATTACAACCTGAATTGTAGTAAAATAGACTAGTCACAAATACATAAAGTCTTTTGTCGTGTTTGCTCAGAAAAATGTATTGTCTTGCTCAATAGAGCTTTTCTATAGACAATCTAACCTAGGATTGTAGCCAGCTGTCTATAATTTTAATTGAATTAGAATTAAATTTAGAAATTAATAAAAACAAAAGAATTACATTTCAATATTTTCTTCATAGGTTTTTTTATTCAGTATTACTGGCATAAATTAGAATCCTTTCCTGGAAAAAAAGCTTTAAAAATGTTGAAAATATCTGACCTTTCACCATCCTGACTAAATGACAACGTACATCCAAGAGCTTTAAGACATAGCTATTCTAATTAGCTAACATTAATAACATTGATTGTAGTTAATAATGACTAATACATTCAATTCATGACCAAAAAAAGATCAGCTGTGAGAATCTTAGGGATTCTATATAAGCAACTAAAAACATGCAATTACAATCTCAAGATGATTGTGTTTATATTGTAGAATGTGAACTACTTCAGTCCAGGAAAAGTTACGTGTATGTGTAGCAAAGGCTACACTTTTTAGCTATATAATTTATAGAAAGTATTCATTTTTGCACTTCATTGTTTATACTATATTCCATTTTTGTCATTCTATTTTCTTTTTCTTGTTTTACCATTTGCATCTTCCGGTTGTTTCTAGATCTTCAATTAAAAGAAGCATCCTTGCATTCTCTAAACAAATATTAGGTAGTAGCTCTGCAATAAATACAGGTAGTCCTCAACATACAACAGTTCATTTAGTGACTGTTCAAAGTTACAATGACACTGAAAAAAGTGACTTATGACCATTTTTTATACTTACGACCATTGCAGCATCCCCATGGTCATGTGATCAGAATCCAGAGACTTGGCAACTGATTCATATTTATGATGGTTGCAGTGTCCCAGGATCATGGACCTTTTGCAAACTTCTGACAAACAAAGTCAATGAGAAAGCCAGATTCAGTTGTGGTACTAACTTAACTGTGGTGATTCACTTAACAAATGTGGCAAAAAAGGTTGTAAAATGGGGCAAAACTCACCTAACAAATATCTCGCTTAGCAACATGGGTTTTGGGTTCAATGGTGGTTGTAAGTTGAGGACTGCCTGTGTAGAGAAATGTTGCCTAAATTGACTTATTTTAAAATGGGGGGAAAGTCATTGAGAAGGTAAACATTTATTAATTCAGAAAATAGATCTGTAACTCTTTTTTTTAATACATACAGTATTTTTTAAACCAACTTCACAAACAACTAATACAACTGTTCTAAGAAAATAATTTCTCAGTTACACGATTATTTTGCATCTATGGTCAATACAGCTACCATAAAGGGTTTAATTTGTAGATGAACTTTTATCCTTTCTATATTTTTACAAAAATTTAACAATTTTTCGTACTCTACAATATTTGGCATATTAAAATTATATATTAAGCTGATGCATGTATTTACTTCTTAATTATCTTAAATCACTATAAAGTGGTGGTGAAAGCCATGTATAATATTAGCTCTAAGTCAGGGTCCCCAACCCCCAGTCCGTGGATCAGTACCGGGCCGCAGCATGCCAGCAACTGAGCCGCACAAACAAGCAAAGCCCCATCTGTGGGATCGAGGCAGCACACAAAACTATGCATTCTCCGGTCCATGGAAAAACCTTTCTCCACGGACCTGGTGCCCAAAAGGTTGGGGACCTCTGCTCTAAGACATAACTTATAATGATTCTGATAAAAATAAGCTGTAACACAGCTTTGAGCTCAGATGTTTTCCTCCCTACTAGTACAAAAATGACCAAAAAAGATCTGAAGCTTTTACTTACATATCATAGGTCAACCTGTCAAAACTTTTGCCATTTTTAAACATTTGTATCTTGCCATAAAGATAGGATATAAATCTAACAAGTTTATATACATAAATAAAACCTAAAAGTTGAGTTTCAAAAAATACTTAAGACTGGAAACTGTCAGATTTGGAGAGTGTAACAAGCCATTAATTTTAAAAAATAGAAAATCTGGAATTGATGTCCTTGGGTCCCAGAGTACGGAGACTAAGTTCATCTGAATGCAGCTACTAGAAATTTTAGCATAGCAGTGAAAAACATGAAAAACCATGGTTGCTGGGTATGTGTGTGGTTTGAGAGCCAAAATCTAAAGTGAAATAGTTGTATAAAACTTGTATTTTTCTCTTATGAAAAATATGACTAGGATAGTAAGTAGCGGTATGTTGTTTGTAGTTTCTGAAAATAAGTGTTTAGTAGTTTTGTGTTAAAATATTTTTATTGCTCCCTCATCCAGATGTATGATGAAGAGTAGGATAAATAATTTGCTATATAAGTATTCTGCCATTAATATTTTCATCTATTAGAAATCTTTTAACTTAGGATAATACTTATTACTACCTTTAGCTAATATCATTAGATACGTATTCAAAAAAGAAAATTAGCAAAGTCAGAAGCAAATCTTGGTACATGAACCAAGCAGTTATAATTGGGAATAAACATAAGCTGCAATAATTCTTTGGCTGGCATATTACAGGTTACTTTGCAGCAAGGTATTCCATAAATTAATTGCACTATGTACAATAGATTCACAGCAGGAAGGATAATATACCTTGGATAATAAAAGTATTAAAAGAAAAAATCTGGCATTGTATATTGAGTTCAGAAATAAAATGTATAGTGTAATAAATTGGATGATGTAAGTATAATTTGATCAACATCAAATACAGGTGCATAGAGAAACTGATTAAAACTATCCTTTTAAACTTGGCCCAAATCCAAATATAGTCTTGAATAAATAAATATTGTAATAATGCTGTTTTTCACTTTGGTAGCTTAACAAAATGCTTAGAGAATTTTAATTGTTCCAGTATCATAAGAAATCAGGTCAGCCTTTATTAAAAGTTTCTTAAATATTCTGCTATTATTGCTTGAGCTCCTTTTTTGTCTCAAATATAATTATTCAGTTTTTAAATTCAAATTGCTAATTAGTAATATGTAGGCCATCTTTAGAATGGCAATAGATCATTACTTGTGATGAGAATACAATATTTTGTTGTGTGTTTTTTCCCTAGACAGAATGCATGAATGGAGATTTTAATCATGGCATTTTACAAAACACAATTTCTTTGTGTTGTCCAAATATGGAGGATTATATAGCCTGTATACATTTTTACAATCAGGATTATCAAATTGCAAATTGATATTTTCATAGGTAAATAACCATAAGGTCCAGAAAGTGTGAGAAAGGAGTCTGTTGCCCCAGCACCTAAAGAAGATGGTTACCATTACATCTGAAATGGCTAAATCATTATTGTCAGGAGAGAGATGCTTCCATCAAAAGTTTTCTACAAAGAGTAATAATAAAAAAAACATGAAAAGCATACTAACATAAATGCTATTTGTCTTTTGTACAGGATTGAAGAAAATGCTGATCTCTTCTTTCAGTAAAGTGTGAAAGTTACTTTGTCTCCTAGTTCATGTGAGACCTAATTAGAAAGATGAAACCTACGAGGTAGGTGAAATAATATGGCAAGCATTGTTGAACTGAGTAGAGTAAAACATTTATAAGTCATAATGAGAGGCAAATTCCTTCACTCTAATTTATTTCAGTTAGCTGTATTTTGCAGTTTTATTTGTTCCTTAATTTCTTATTTGTTGAGAAAAAAACATATCTTTTTTCACTTTTTGTCTTCCATATTGTGTCAAAGTCAGCATTTTGGAAACTAAAGATAATAAATAAACCATTAGCAAAATATAGGGAGCCTTGGACTGTGGCATGAGCAGACAAGGAAATATTCTAGAGCTAGTGGAGTAGAAGAGGGGAATAGATCATGAAATTAAGCATATGAATGGGATGACAATGATTATGATGATGTCCCACTTTTCTGTCTGTAAATCTAATGCATTTCAAACATCAAAAAAGAATTGAATTCAATTCTTCGGATTACTATAATGATACAAACAAAAATACATTTTTTCAATTAATGCATTTACCTTATCCAAACTTGCTATGCAGATTGGGCAGGGGGGGATTACTGATGGCAGGAGCTAAATCGATGAAGGTGGGAACTGAAATACAACTTCTCTGCTTGCTTCATGTCAGATAAACTGAGTACTCAGTTCCTGGTCTATATTGTGGTCTAAAGACACATTTGCACAAAGGTTTAGGTCTGGCCTGCCAGAAAATTTCATATATTCTTGTTTGACTGAAGGGGATTGGGAAGAGGAAAACAGTAACAATTTAAAAAATCTCAGTCAAACAATCATTGCAATAGTCCCACCTATTTTCTCTTTCCTTTCTACAAAGCCAACAGCTAATGATAGTTTGGGCCAGTGATAAACATTGTTATTATTATATTTGTTGAATATATGTTCAATATTCAGGGAGATTTGTGTTTTACATAGCTAACATATATTTCTATCTGTCATCTATTTAATGGTTAAATGTACAAATACATAAATGGATATGGTACTTTTAATGGGAAACTGCTCTGAATGCAATTTCCAAATCATCCTATAAGCACAGGCCTCAATAAAATTTACAGGATCAAACATTAAGGAAAAATAATGTTTTCATAAATATAGAACTCTAATAGCAAAATTCATTGCCCATGAAAAAATCTGAACTATTTGGATGCAAATAACTACAGTGCAAGTTTTTTAAAATTATACTTTGTCTCAAAATATGTTGTTATTTATTTTCCCTTAACTTAAAAACTAAAGAAGTAAGCAGATTATTATTTATTTAAGGGAATAACCAAACTTTGAAATGCGACATTTAACTTGCTTTCTTTCTGTTATTTCTAGATGATAGAAGCAGATAGTAGAACTGAATGTATACTCAACTACTTCTTGACTTCCCACCCTGCAACACAAAGGACATAGTGCCAGCTCTATAAAGAATGGTATAGAATCTGGAAATCTAAAGATCCTGGGAGTCAGACAACGGGGCCTAAAACACAACGTTTTGTTTTACCTTTTATCTTTTTACATGATTTAAAATACATTTAATTTGAATTCCAAATCTTCATTAAGATATGAATACACAGCAGAAATAACTGAGCTTAATCATGGATACAAATATAGCGGAGTCTCCACAAATCAGTGATAATTTGATGATGGATAAAATCAACAATTTAAAAGTGGAACCAGAAGACGATAGTAATTGTATTTTAGAAGCAATAGATATAAAAACTGAAAAAGAAGATCTAAGACAGATCGACAGCAGTGATGAACAGGATGACAGAGAAAAGAATTTTGCCCGTAACAACTCAGACAAATTCATCTCTGCAGAGAATGAGGATGATTATGGTTCTCTTTTTTCTCAATATAGCAGTACTCTCTATGATGTTGCAATGGAAGCTGTAACACAGAGTCTTCTTTCAAGCAGAAACATAAGCTCCCGAAAAAAGTCCCCTGCTTGGAACCACTTCTTTATATCTCCTAGAGACAGTACCAAAGCAATATGTATGTACTGTATGAAAGAATTTAGCAGAGGTAAAAATGAGAAAGACTTAAGCACAAGTTGTCTAATGAGGCATGTGAGGAGAGCTCATCCAACTGTACTCATTCAGGAAAATGGAAATATACCAGCTATATCTTCCTTTTCTTCATCTCCTACATTACTATTGCCACCTCAGCCTGCAGAGGCTGGAGATTTAACTCAAGTGCTAACTCCTATAAAATTAATTAAAAGAACTTGTTCTAAGATTCCATCCCCAGATCAAATTATGGAGGAATCTGTTCCTGTGGTTTCTATTGAAGAAATACCTTCAGATTTATCACATACTGAAAAGAACAATAAAGAAGAAGCTGGTGTTGGATTATCACTACACCTGCCCAACAGTCAATGTGAAGAAATGGTGGACAATATAGCAGAGAAAACTGTTCAAGTTCCTAAGACTACATCTGGCTCAAGGAGAAGATCTGCTGTATGGAAACATTTTTATTTATCTCCTCTAGATAACTCAAAAGCTGTTTGCATTCACTGTATGAATGAATTCAGCAGAGGAAAGAATGGAAAAGATCTTGGAACTAGCTGCTTAATACGGCACATGTGGAGAGCTCATCGTTCTATTGTTCTGCAGGAGAATGGAGGAGGTTCAAGCATACCCCCTCTGTACTCTGCTCCTCCAACTTTATTACCACCTTTATTAGCTTCAGATGGAGACCCAAGTTCTGTATCATCTGGAAAATTAGCTAAAGAACCAACATCTGTTTGCTCTTCTCCAGACAGAATAGCTGAAGAAAATAATTCCAATCTTCCTTTGGGAGATACTCTGATGGAGGATTCCTCATTGTTTTCATCAGCAGAAGATATAGGGGAAGCTACTTTAGTTTCTTCTCCTGAAAAAAGCCCATTGTTACTGGAACATAGCTCTGTTTTTCATCAGAATAAACGCATAATGCGAAAGCTGAAAGCTGAAGTATGGAATCATTTTTCTTTGTCTCCAGGGGATAATCTAAAAGTTATATGTAGACACTGTAGCTGTATGTTAAACCATGGGAGAAAAGGTGATTTAGGCACAAGTTATTTGACAAGACACTTATACAGGAGGCATCCTGAAGTTATAGGAATCCAAAAGAGCTTTATAGATACCAGTTTAGCAAATTCTCCTTATGCTACCTTGGCTTCTGCAGAACGTTCAGCTTCAAAACTGACTGACTTGCCCACAATGGTTACTAATGAAACTCAAGTCATATTTCCTGTTAGTAGCAAAAAGACCTCAAAACTGTGGAATCATTTTTCAATTTGTTCTGCAGATTCAACTAAAGTAATATGTATGCACTGTGGACGTACAATAAGTCGAGGGAAGAAGCCAACCAATTTGGGAACCAGTTGCCTTTTAAGACATTTACAACGGTTTCATAATCATGTCCTAAAACCAGATGCCTCAGAGCCAGTATTGTCCTCTTCTAAAAATAATCATGTACCTCTGAGCACAGATCTTTTGGGATCTTCATCTTTTGATGAAGCCACTGACAAGTTTTCTGACACGCATCCTGTTGCCAAAAAAATTACAAGTCTTGTTGCTGAAATGATTGCACTTGATCTTCAGCCATATTCTTTTGTAGATAATATTGGTTTTAATAGATTGCTTGAATACTTGCAACCTCAGTATTCATTGCCTTCACCATCTTATTTTTCTCATACTGCGATTCCTGATATGTATGATAGTGTGAAAGAAATAATTGTTTCACATCTTAAAGAAGCTGAAAGTGGTGTAGTCCATTTTACCTCTGGAATATGGATGAGCAATCAAACTCGGGAATATCTAACTCTCACAGCTCATTGGGTAACATTTGGGTCACGAGTTCGACCACAGTGTGAAGATTACCATTGTTCAGCTTTATTAAATGTTTCACAGATTGATTGTGACTATAATGGTATCAGCATTCAGAAGCAACTAGAATATTGGTGGGAAACCTGGATAACATCAATTGGGCTACAGATTGGGATTACTGTTACAGATAATCAGACAATAGGAAAAACTTTAAATGAAGGGGAACATTCAAGTGTGCAATGCTTTTGTCACACAGTGAATCTCATAGTGAATGAAGCTATTAAAAGCCAGAGGATGGTTCAAAACCTGCTTAGCATTGCCAGAAAGATATGTGAACGTGTTCATCGCTCACCGAAAGCAAAAGAGAAATTGGCAGAGCTACAGAAAGAATATCATTTGCCACAGCATCAGCTAATCCAAGATGTCCCATCAAAATGGAATACATCATTTCATATGCTTGAAAGGCTAATTGAACAGAAAAGAGCTATTGATGAAATGTCTATAGAGTGTAGCTTCAGGGAGTTAATAAGCTGTGATCAGTGGGAAGTGATGCAGTCTGTCTGTCATGCACTCAAACCATTTGAAGTTGCAAGTAGAGAGATGAGTACGCATATATCTACCTTAAGCCAAGTAATTCCAATGATTCATATTCTAAACCGGAAAATTGAACTACTGTTTGAGGAAACAATGGGCATAGATACTATGCTAAAGTCCTTAAAAGAAGCTATGGTGAGTCGATTATCCTCCATACTCCATGATCCAAGATACATTTTTGCTACACTTTTAGACCCTCGTTATAAGACCTCCTTATTCACAGAAGAAGAAGCAGAACAGTATAAACAGGACTTAATCAGGGAGCTAGAAATACTAAATGCTACCTCAGATGATAATAAACCAGTTTCCAATGGTTGTGGTATAGGTTCATCATCTAAAATCTCTTACGGGGACAATAGTCTTTGGTCACTAATGGAAGACATGAAAAAAGCAAAACTTACAAAAGAAAAGACTAAGTTGCCAGAAGAAATGGTGCTTTTGTATCTGGAGGAAGAAGTGCTTGAACATAACTGTGATCCCCTCACTTACTGGAATTTTAAGAAATCATCTTGGCCAGTATTGTCAAAATTGGCTGTTCGATTCCTAGGTTGTCCTCCAAGCATCGTTCCATCAGAGAGATTATTCAGTACATCCAATGAAAGCATCAGCTTTAGTCAATCAAGACTAACAATGGAACACTTTGAAAAACTTATATTTTTGAAAGTAAATCTTCCTTTGATATACTTCCAGTATTGAAATTAATGAACAGGCTGCCAGTCTAAACTTGTTATTCACTGGATAATTACTATATTTGTAACTTAATTGCTCCATTTAGGGGCCATGTATGACAGCTAATCAATGCCTCTTGTTTGAAACTTAGTTATATTTTTCAGTTCTCTCTATGTCTACATGTGCCTTATCAGTAGTCCTTCAGGCCAGATATAGTGTACATACATCTTTTTTTAAAAAAAAATCCTATTAGAATTAGCCTTGTCTTTGTCCAAACTATTAAAAAATGTAGCTTTTGATTGAATATTGTAAATGAAATTTTAAAACATTTTGAATAGAATGGCAAAATGGATGTAAAGAGTTCTATTACGTAGCTTTTTATTCAATTATGTAAAAAAACAGAAACCAGGTACTGTATATTAGCTGAACATTGCTTTAATTGCAGAAAAAGCTGTATATAAAGGTGGAAATGAAGCCATCTTCCTATTTAGCAGGTTTTAACTGCAGGCTTAATGTTCTTATGTTCAACTATGTATGTACTAAAGAGGGCAGTTGAATTAGTATTTGACTAAACTTAGAGTTATTAAGAAACACCAGTTATACAGTAATCTAAATTTGCCATTCATGGTCTTTATTCAGGTTTTTTTTTACACTGTAACTGAATTAGAGCTTGAGTATTTATAAGGTTTTTGGGTGTTTATTTTCAAAATTTTCCAATTAATGTTTGTTATTTAATGCAGTGCATTGAAAGATAAAAATATAAAGGGGCATCATGCCAAGTCTTTTACAATTGAATGAATTAAAACATTAATTCTTGGGAAAATGTAGTTAAGGTTTCCCATGTAACTGAAAATTATATATGGCATTCTTCTCTTATTTCTGTTACATGAACTTTATTATCAGTGAATATCCTTTCTAAGGTTGTGCAAATACTTTGGAAAAGGTGCTTCAGAACACGCAGGACTTGCATCGGATCGTCCTTGCATGCACAGGCACTTCACATGCACCTGAAGAATTTGCACAGCCCGTAGACAGGAGTCCTGCATAGAATGTTATATCGTAGAACTGACCATAATTGATAGTGTCTATCAGCCAAGTAGGATATTGTAGAATTTTAATAATCCTCAGGCAGCAGGTAAGAATAGCCAGCATTTACATTTGCTGTCCACATTTTAAAAGAATTTAAAATAATATTTCTCCCCCTCCTCTTCCCATCTCCCCCAATGCATTGATAAAATTCTTTGGAAAAATAAATTAACTACAGCTTTTAGGAAAGATGTAGTTTTGTTAAAATACTGTACTGTATGTCTGCCTAATTTTTGCATTTATTATGTTTTAGTGTATTTATAAATGATGGATTCAGTTTCTGAAATTAAACATCTTATTTGCAATTTTTAGAGAACGAGTCTACATCAGCCATTTTTCCCTTTTAGAATGCAATGGGGACTTAGTGATTCTTCAAAGTGTATGGGCATAATCTGGATATAACAACTTTTGGAATAGGAATTATAAGGCAAGTTTCTGCAGTCTGTCAATGAAACATTTCCTTGTATTATTATTTCTGTCTCCCATACTGTGAGACATATGATATAATGATGCAATATGGCCCAAATATATTTGAAATATCTTCAGTAAGTACAATATTGATCTTTTTTTAAAAAAAAAAAA